ACACAAGGCTCTCGCTGGTGTCATGTGACAGTGCTGGGCCAATACTCAAACACCAGGCCTGTCAACAAGGAAGGGGAGTAATGCAGGCCATAGATGGGTCGAAAATCGGCCGATTTTTCGGCAGAAAATAAAATCGGCCGATTTTCGGATCGTTAGTGGGCGATTTGGTCGGCCGTTTTTTGGTATTTTGGCCGTTTTTTTTTTTTTTCGGTAAAGTTGGAAAAAAAATCGGCCGATTTTGCCGATCGGCCGATTTTTGCGGCAATTAGTGGGCAAATCGGCCGATCTTTTACCGATAAAAAATCTGCACATGAGCAGTGACCTGCAAGAGGAAGACAAAAAGAAGAGGATGAAGAAGAGGATGAAGAAGAGGATGAAGAAGAGGATGAAGAAGAGGATGAAGAAGAGGATGAAGAAGAGGAATGAAGAAGAGGAAGAAGAAGGGAATGAAGAAGAAGAAGAGGAGGAAGAAGAAGAAGAGGATGAAGAAGAGGATGATGAAGGGAATGAAGAAGAAGAAGAGGATGAGAAGAAGAAGAGGAATGAAGAAGAAGAAGAGGATGAAGAAGAGGATGATGAAGGGAATGAAGAAGAAGAAGAGGATGAAGAAGAGAAGGAGGATGAAGAAGAGGATGATGAAGGGAATGAAGAAGAAGAAGAGATGAAGAGAAGAAGAGGATGAAGAAGAGGATGATGAAGGGAATGAAGAAGAAGAAGAGGATGAAGAAGAAGAAGAGGATGAAGAAGAGGATGATGAAGGGAATGAGGATGAGAAGAAGAGGATGAAGAGGAGAGGAGGAGGATGAAGAAGAAGAAGAAGAGGAGGATGAAGAAGAAGAAGAGGAGGATGAAGAAGAGAATGAAGAAGAAGAGGAGGATGAAGAAGAAGAAGAGGAGGATGAAGAAGAAGAAGAGGAGGATGAAGAAGAAGAAGAGGAGGATGAAGAAGAAGAAGAAGAGGAGGATGAAGAAGAAGAAGAGGAGGATGAAGAAGAAGAAGAGGAGGATGAAGAAGAAGAAGAAGAGGAGGATGAAGAAGATGAGAGATGAGGAAGAAGAAGAAGTAGGATGAAAATAAGAAGAATTCCAGTCCAGCAAAAAGTGTCTCTGCAGAGAGCTCCGCTATTTCTGACAGTTCTCTGACAGTTCTTTTGACATTTACAGCGGTTGCAACATTGTATCTATTTGTTTCCGAATAAAAACATCTGTATCCTAAATGGAAACAAATAGATACATTGTTGCAACTTCTATAAATGTCAAGGAACTGTCAGAGAACTGTCAAAGAAATAGCAGAGCTCTCTGCAGGGACACTTTTTGCCGGCTCTAGACGGGTAGAAAATCGGCCGATTTTTTTTTTTTTTTTTTTTTTACCATTGATGGTAACGTCGGCCACTTGAACAACCGATTTTTCGTTTTTTAAAAAAAATCTGCAGTTTTTCTCCCCATCTATGGCCTGCATAAGTCGCATCTTTAATGCTTTGATATTATTATTATTATTATACAGATTTAAATATAGTGCCAACTATATCAGACAGCTGACCTCTTTGTGGTATTCAGACCTAAAGTGACTCTGAACGGTCCTTATCCTTATTCCAAATATAATCCATATACACACCAACTTTTTAATGGCTCTGTAATTATTTTCCATGAAATAGTTTCTTGCTGTGTTTTTCCGCCTCTATATAAAGTTCTCATTGAGCTTCTGAACCCCTCCTTTTCCCCCTACTTTGGTTTGCTTAGAACATGAAGTGTAAATTCGTTACAATCATGTTCACTGCTCTATGCACACTACAAATCCTATAGTTCCTACCGTAGTCCATCTTGGGTGCCAACAGGAGAGGTACATTCCTACATACAGTATGACCATCAAGCAAGAACGTGGCCACCCTCTAACACACAGGTGTCAAACTATGGCCCTCCAGCTGCTAAGGAACTACAAATCCCACCATGCATCGGCCTTATGGTGTCATGCTTGTAACTGTCAGCCTTGCAATGCCTCATGGGGTTTGTAGTTCTGCAACAGCTGGAGGGCTGCAGTTTGACACCCCTGCTCTAACAGGAAGTCAGAACAGGAATAGCACCCCGTTGTTGATGTCAATTAGCCCTATTGATATAATTTAAAACTCTATATATCCCTACGAAAAGTATCACTCTCACCCTCGAAAGTGTAAATAAAATATAAATAATATCTTTTCAATGCTCCCTCTATCACACACCCGACAGTTACCCTCATAAATAGTGCAAAAACCTATATCAACAAATGTCCACATATGAGTCCATATATAGTGCTTTTTCAAACGTTGGGGACTAATCCACTTTGCTGCTCTTCAATCCAAGACACCCAAATCAGGATACCTCAAAAAAAATATAAACTAAATATAGTGCATTATCGTTTCAACAGAAAAGAACACTCGTGAAACTAAAAGTGATTCCTCCTAAACTCCCACCCGTGACAAGTCAACACTCCAAAAATGTGATTCAGTGTAACACTCCACAACCAGTGTCACCATCCAAATGTAATGAATACCATTACCCTCTCATGGATGATAAGGACTAATCGTGATCACATGCATCAAAATGAGTAGTGCCATCACTCTTGTGGTATAAAATACCATTACCCTCTTCCAATGCAGACCAAGCAAAAACTCCTTCAAGGCAATCCAAAATATCCCCCTCTCCGGAAGCTTCCTGCTGCTTCCAATCCACCTTCCCCGTTCCTCAAAGGGGCAGATAATATAAGACTCAGTGGAGTATATAAAAAAGGAATTCACAAATTTATTTACAGCTTACATAGAAAACGCCAACGTCCATCCTCTCCCACAGTCCATATAGCTGAACTCCAGTATCCAAGATGGCCGTGCCGCTCCTTCCGGTTTGAAGTTCTAATGTTACGTCCTTACGTTCTGACGCGTTTCGTCACTTCCGACTTTTTCACAAGGGTCTTTCATCTCAAGCTTTGAGCACTGTTCAATCCATCAAATAGAAAGAGTATGGCACAACTGCAAACCTACCAAGACATGGCCATCCACCTAAACTGACAGGCCGGGCAAGGAGAGCTGTAATCAGAAAAGAAGGGCCCATGGTAACTCACCCATGGCCCATGGTAACTGAGCTGCACAGATCCACAGCTCAGGTGGGAGAATCTGTCCACAGGACAACTACTAGTCGTGGTCTCCACAAATCTGACCTTTATGGAAAAGTGGCAGGAAGAAAGCCATAAGAAGTCCTGTTTGCAGTTTGCGAGAAGCCATATGGGGGATTCAGCAAACCTGTGGAAGAAGGGGCTCTGGTCAGATGAAACCAAAATTTAACTTTTTGGCCTAAAAGCAAAATGCTGTGTGTGGTGGGAAAACTAACACTGCACATCATTCTGAACTCGCCATCCCCACCGAGAAACATGGTGGTGGCAGTATATGTTGAGGGGATGCTTTCCTACAGCAGGGACAGGGAATCTGGTATGAGTTTATGGGAAGATGAATGGAGCAAAATACAGGGCAATCTTAGAAGAAAACCTGTTGTCTGCAAAAGACTTGAGACTGGGGCGGAGGTTCACCTTCCAGCAGGACAACGAACCTAAACATACAGCTAGAGCTACAATGGAATGGTTTAGATCAAAGCATATTCATGTGTTAGAAAGGCTCAGTCAAAGTCCAGACCTAAATCCATTGAGAATCTGTGGCAAGACTTGAAAATCGCTGTTTGCAGACGCTCTCCATCCAATCTGGCAGAGCTTGAGCTATTGTGCAAAAAAAATGGCCAAAAATGTCCCTCTCTAGATGTGCAAAGCTGGTCGAGACATACCCAAAAAGACTTGCAGCTGGAGTTGCAGCGAAAGGTGGTTCTACAAAGTATTGATTCAGGGGGCTGAATACAAATGCACGTCACACTTTTCACATATTTATTTGTGAAAAAAAAATTTTGAAAAATCCCAATAAAATACATTTACGTTTTTGGTTGTAAGATGACAAAATGTGGAAAATTTTAAAGGGTATGAACACTTTTTCAAGTGTGTGTGTGTGTGTGTGTGTGTTTCCCCTTATTAAAGCATTGCTGTAATAAGGGGAAAGCTATTTATTTACAAGAGTTTTATTTTTGTAAAAATGTAACAAAAGAGAATTTAACAATGGCACACAGAAACTTCATAAATGGCTAATGTTGTGGAAAAAAAATTTATGTGCCTTGCAGTGCTTTGTCATTCACTCTGAACAGCACCATGATCCACATATGGGATGTTAACTAACACACTAGTGCTGTATGGAACTACAATGCACAGATATGAATTCTCTGAATGCTGTGTTGCCCAGATGTAATGCAGATCAGATTTTTTTTTTCTTTTTTTAAATTTTGCTCATTAACACTTGTTAAAAGCCCCCTGTAAGGTGAATGGGTTCCTTTTTAAAGTAACCCACATCAGCACATAATAAAAACATGTCTTACTGTGCATAGACCGGTATGAATCTGCCCAAAAGCTGGAGCCAGATATATATATATTTTTTTTTTTCTTTCAGGGAGCACATTTGGTGTCCTAGACAGGGAAGTGGGGGGGGGGGGGGGGGGGGAATTTACTGGAAGTTTATCCATGGCTAACTTTTCCTCCCCTCCCCCGACCCTCTTTTATCCCCTCAAAGTCCTCTCTTGCCTCATTTCAATTCAAATAAGCTTTATTGACATGTCAGACCAAGGCATGCACTTTTTGTTGGCAAAACATGCTTAGTGGGTTTTTGTAAGTGGGTCAAAGAAAGAAAGAAAGAAAGGTTTAAGCACATAATCTGAATGTACTGCAATTCTGTAGACTTTAAGGGTGTACTGAGCTCGTTTTTTCTATTTTCTCTTTTTTTTTTTTTTTCTTTTGTTAGACTTATCCACCATGACACTTTGCATTTCTGCCTGTGTACTGTAATATTCCATGCCAAGTCCTCCTGCTAACAAGTACTTATCCTGACCTCTCTGTCTCCTGACTCTAGGCTTCTGTCAGCACTGCTAGAAGCCAAGTATTAAACATGGAGGTGAAAGGTCCCTGCGGAATCTCCACGACAGGTAAAATTAGCTGTGTGTGTATATGTATGTGTGCGAGATGTGTGTGTATGTGTATATATATGTGTGTGTGTGTGTGTGTGTGTGTGTGTGTGTGTGTGTATATATATATATATATATATATATATATATATATATCTATATATATATATCAGTATCTCACAGAAGTGAGTACACCCCTCACATTTTTGTAAATATTTTATTTTTATTATATCTTTTCATGACATCACCCGAGTGACCCCACGGGGCATCATTGATGTCACATGGGTTGGGGTCACATGCGTGATGTCTCCGGGTGGCCCCGCCCCTTACCTATTTAAGAACTGTCAAACCACTGAACAGGCAGACGTCTGGAACCCATTGTCGGAAGCGGAGCCTTTTTTTTTTCTTTTCTTTCATAATTCTTTTTTTTGGGTTGGTGGCGGGCAATCGTGATTGACATTGGATCTACTGCAGGGGACATTCTTTTAGTTTTCTTTTAATAAATGACTTGTCAAAGACTGTGTCCTGTCTTTTTTCACACTACGTTTTTTGTGAATGATTATCAGGACCATGTACCCCTTACTCATTCACATAGGGGGAGGGCCGGGATCTGGGGGACCTCTTGTTAAAGGGGGCTTCCAGATTCTGATAAGCCCCCTGCCCGCAGACCCCCACAACCGTGGCTAACAACATGGGGACAAGGTGCTTTGGGGGGGAGCCCCCCATGCCCCAAAGCACCCCACCGCCCATGTTGAGGGCATGTGGCCTAGTATGGTTCAGGAGGGGTTTTTCTCATGATCATCCTTACCCCATGAGCTCCAGACCTAGGGCGATTGATGTTTATTTTGTATTTCTTCAATTTGTGAATAATTGCTCCAACAGTTGTCTCCTTCTCTCCAAGCTTCTTGCTTGTATCCATTCCAGCCTTGTGCCGATCTGCATTCTTGTCCCTGGCGTCCTTTGATAGCTCTTTGGTCTTGCCCATGGTGGTAAGGGTTGAAATGGAAGAAAAAGATTCTGTAGACAAGTGTCTTTTATACACATAAGTCATTGTTAGGAGCACCCTCTTAAATTGACAGGACTAATCTGTGTACCACATGAGCACATAGCCAGTCTGTGGGAGCCAGAAATACTGTTGGTTGGTACGGGATCAAATACTTTTGATATTCTGTCTCTATCTTTTAAAGTAAAATTATGATAAAAGTTATAGAGTTATAGACCCTTCCTTTCTTTTTAAGTGGGTGTGTGTGTGTGTGTGTGTGTATGTGTGTGTATGTCTGTATGTATATATATATATATAGCTGAGCTACACCTTGAATCAGAATATGCACAGCAAGCTCCACTCCAGGGATGTGATGTCCAAGCATACCATGCTCCATCTTTTGTTTCTTTTTTATTTTAAGCTACCCTAGTTTTAAAAAAGCGCGTGGCATGCTGAAAACTGTTAAGCTGTATGGAAATGTACGATACCTTGGATTATAAGTAAATCTAATTGTAAAATGTGATTATCATTATATTCTCTGCTTTTATTCTCTAACCAACTTTGTCCAGTAGCTTTATATAATTCATGTTTAGTGGGCTTTGTCTTCATAAAGATGTAAGAAAAAGTTCCATATACTAAAGCAGCCACTCAGAATTACCCTAATCTAAGCCAGACCAGGATATGTTAGATCTGCTTGTTTGTTGTTGGAACATCCCTTAGTGCACTGCATATTGTTTAAATTGCGTCTCTAAACCCAATAACAGAATTGTAATATATTGTAGCTTATTAGTCCTTTTTTCTGGCCAATTCTTCTAAATTCCTGTGCATTGAACTGATATCTCAAGCAGTGTTATCAGCTTTCCCAGCTCTCTTCTGTGTTCTACAAAACACCTCCTCTCTATGCAACAAATAAGAAGGGGTGCGAGGAAGGGATAGAATGTCTGGTTCTGGTTTTTATTGCGGTTTGTGTCTATGGAGGAGATTTCTTTATTTCTTGTCCCAGATATCATTAATTGGAACATAAACAGCACTGTTAACATGACAGATGTTCTATCCCTAAAAAAAAAAAAAAAAAGGGTTGTAATTCCACTTTTATGAAATGTTAATGTCCCCTTTCAAGTGTACTGTTCGCGATAGTGCTACTAATGCACTTGTCATCCATAATATATAACCCGGTCACTTGTTCTTATATGTCTCGATGACCTTCTAGATTGTAGGCACCTGCGGTGTGCTTGTTTCAAGTTCACGTATTTGTTTGCTTTTCACTTTTATTTGGCGATGACTTAATCCATACGATTACTATTAACGCAACAGCCTGTCCCAGAGCAGTTTGCAGTGTTCCTGACCAAAGAGGATTGAGCTTGCATAAAATTCCACCTTCCATGCGGACTGTGATGCTGTCCAAGTTATTTAGTACATGGCTTCCCAATCATTATGTGTAACCTGGGGGATAATTATGCTTTCTAAGTTCACATCAGTAAAAAATTAAGCCAATAATAAAACCTATATGAAACCCATCAGACATTATAGTTCTGTGAAAGCAGCAGGTAATTCATGTGTACGTTTTAAGGGGTGTATGAGATGTTGAACCACACAGGGGGGGACTGTAGATTGGCACATTAGTATGTGCTTTAAAGTGATACTCTAAGTTAAGGTTTCTTTTTTATATCTGAATAAAAAAGATGGTATACCTACGATATTGCACAGAGTGGTCCTTTAGTAGTCCCCTGCCAACAATGTCTGCTGCTACCTCTGGGTGCTTCCTTAACAAGTTAGGTGCTATGGAGGCACCTGGGCACACATGCTCCTTAGCAGGGCTGTGTGCATCCATAGATACATACAGCACCAGTAAGCCCCGTCCCTGCTCCCTCCTCACAAGAGTTTAACAGGAGCCAGGAAGAGGAGCAGTGCTGCAGACGGGACAACGCTGGAGCAGTGACAGCAGTCAAGTGTTGGGGGAGGGTAGGATAGGTAGTGGGGTGTGTATGTTGACCTGTTTATTGTATAGCACTACAGAGTCTTCTATTTTATAAAGCATAATACTGGTATTGCCTAGAAAGCAACATTGTTTCACTACCACCCCACACTATAACAATCTACGATTTCGGCCACATCGAATCCGACTTTGAAATTGTGCAATTTCAAATGAAGTCGCATGATTTCAAAGTCAGATGTCAGTGCAACTTCAGGTGCGACTTGGTGCTGCGACAGATGTCAATGCAAGTTGCACATGAACTGCGTTCAAAATCAGTGTGATTCCAACAGAGTCGGAGTGGCACCGATTTGGCCGCTTCCATTGTGGACAATAGGCTGCAACTTGTCATGCGGTTTGAAACGATCAGATCTCATGACAATTCGCACCGGTGTGACCGGGAACCAATTGAGACAAAGTTGCAACATAACAAATGTCATCACAGGGCCATACAAGTTGTAGCAAGGTATACATTCCCTCAGTCTATATTCTGCTACAATACCAATCAGTGAAAGCAATGGGTATCTGGAAAACCTGAGACGTGTAACTTGCTGAGGTGGACGCCATAATTTGATCATGTGCATGCTGCTCTCTTCCTAGGTGGGGCTCCTTTTGACACCTCCTCCAAGCAGAGAGCTCTGCTGATTTCGGAACTCACAGACAAACAGCGAGATCTACAGGAGACGCTGAGACAGAAAGTGAATGAGCTGCGGAGACTGTGTCTGCAGGAAGCTGTGAGTACAACTTTTTGCTGAGTATTCTGTATTGTTCTAGGAATTGGACCACGGAATATGTCGATGTATCTTCATACAAAAGGGGGAATGAAGAGGTTCTCTGTGGTAAGAGTGGCTTGAACTAAACTAAAGGCTGATACAAAAATTTATGAAGGAGAATTGTCACTCAGATGATACATTATTGTGCTGTCCCCATTTGCAAGCATGCTCACAGTGTTAAAAATGAGAGCGCAAAGCAGAGTGCTTCTCCTCACTCTTTCAGTTTGAATTTTGCCATGCAAGGGATTACAATATCGAGGCAAATTCAGGTATTTTATAATAAAGTTAAATATATATATATATATACTATATATAAATGTTTTTATTTACATTAACCTTTACCTGCCCAACCTGACATCCCTTTAAAAAATTCAGAATGCTTGGGGGGGGGGGGGGGGGGGGAATTGTCTGATTTCTTGACCTATGTAATTGGTGGTCACTTGAACAGGAGCCAGTCCCACCGGCTTTTGATCATTAGCAGGTACCAAGAACGGCCTTGTACAGATCAGTCTCTGTGCTGGGAGTCCTCTGTGTACAGAAACAATGGCCGCCCAGCAGCGCGTATATGTGGCCTGTGGGTGTTTAAACCCCACTCTTTTTTGCCCTTGCACATGTGTTAATCAGTCGTAAAGGGGTTAAACTAGTCAAAATACCTGAATTTGCCTTGGTATGGTAACCCCTTGCACCACAACATTCAAACTGAAAGAGTGAGGGACAGCACACTGCTTTGCTTTGTGCTCTCACTTTTAACATTGTGAACATACTTACAAGAGGGGACCTCACAATACTGTACTTCATCAGAGTACTGCTGCCCCTTCATTGCCCATTCCCAGATGGGCTGGTCCTAGACCAGGCTTCATTGCTAACTACAATATCTCTATGGAAGTCACGGACTTGGCTGGGCTCTCTGGCAAGGCTGCCAAAATCACAAGACTGGCTGAACAACAGATTTGCTGATTACATATTTACCTAAAGTTCCCCTTTTTAAAGGATACGTTCACTGTTAAAAAAATATAATACATTTGTTTGCAGGTTACAAAATGTGCATTTCCTTTTCTTTTTTTCCATTTTTTTTTTTTTGTTGGAGCCTGGAAAGCATTGCCCCTGTGATCAGCAGATTGTGGGTGTCATGCAGGACTACAGATTTCAGTGTAAGCTGTTTTCCTGTACAGGCAAGCAGTTTCTCACTGACAGGAAGAATCAATGAACTACTAGAGCCCTCAACAGTGCCACCCTAGTTCATTGAGAACTACAAGCCGACAGCCGCAAAGGCTGTGTTGGTGTTCCAATTCACAGAAATCTGGGAATGAATGACGCGGCAAGGTGTTTTTTTTTTTTTTTTTTTTAAATAAATTGTGACAAAGCGGAATTGCGGCCATAACATGTAATATGTTTTGAAAGGTGAACTTATCCTTTAAAGTGAGCCTGTGTTTTGTGAGTAAAGTAATAAAGTGAGCGCTCTCCGGTAAGCAGCTGAAACACTCAAGGAAACCAATATAAAAACCTTGTCATAGATATATAATAAATAAGTGCAGCGCTAAAAATGAGTAATGGTAAAATCTGTCCCAAGTTGGAAATAACACAATAGCTAAAAGTATAAATTCTCAATAGCAGTGACAGTCTGTATAATAAAACCGGTGTGGCGTAACAATCAAATCCAGTGGCAGTGCTCCCAATAATATGGTAAAAATTACACACTCACCAGATGCTTAATTCAAGTGCGCAGTGTATGAATCAATGAAGATCTCCTTAACGGATATAGGTGTGGTCTGGAACGTGAATAATCCTCCCTCAGGGTGGTGTTGTTATGAGCCCTCAGAGAAGTAAGAAGATCCAGCTCGCCAGAGATCCCTTTATGGGATGGATGGGTACAAGTGCCTGCTTACAGGTGCTCCCCTCTCTGGATACAGTGGATGGATGACTGGATCACAGCAGGGCTCTATAAATAAATAGCTCCTTTGTACCAACTGTTATATCTTGGACAATGCCTTCCATGGCACACACAACAACCACCCGGCTCTGAGGCGTTCCAGACCACACCTATATCTGTTAAGGAGATCTTTATTGATTCATACACTGCGTACTTGAAGTATGCATTTGGTGAGTGCGCAATTTTTACCATATTATTGGGAGCACCGCCACTGGATTTGATTGTTATGCCACACCGGTTTTATTATACAGACTGTCACTGCTATTGAGAATTTTATACTTTTAGCTATTGTATTGTTATTTCCAACTTGGGACAGATTTTACCATTACTCATTTTTAGCGCTGCACTTCTTTATTATATGAGCCTATGATTTGCCCATGTGGGCCAAAGCAACTGGTCCACTTTATTGAGTTTATTGCAGTCCTCTACAGCAGCATGTACTATAGAATTGCTTTCCCTGCCACTGCATTCAGTTATTGGGAGAGAACAGAATGCCTTGTGAAAGCTTCAAGTCATCAAAATTACACGATAGACTTTTCTATAAAAACGCTGATTGACCATGACGTGGGGTGAGTAACATGCTCCTCCATACCTGAAAGCACCAAGTATTTTCTTACAGCACCTGTCACCGAATGGAAGGATGAGGGTTGGGTAGGTGTATGTTGTTGAGGATGGAGAGGTTGAACCAATCCTGTAGCTTTGTGCTGGCTGGGTAAAGTTTAGCATTGGTAAAACTCTGTAATGAAATTTCAGAGTGGATATTTTTCCTACAATGAATAATATCCACAATTATATAGTTTAAGGAATATTTTGGCCTTGGAAGTTCTTCTAAGTGTCTTCGTGGGATTGGATGGTTTAATGCATAGAAGCTCTCCCCATAAGTCCTTACTCCTCTGGGCAAGTGACTGTATTGTTCCTATCAGACAGAGCAAGTACATGTTTTCTGATAGTGGTATTGACTGTAAAGTTTATTCTGAATGTGAGCATCAGCAGTGTACCTATGATTGTCATGATGGCACATGTCTGACTACACCTACAGAACCACTACTGTAATAATTGATTTATAATATAATATTTATTGATAATACTAATAGTTCCCTTCTTTCTGAGCAGGAACTGACTGGACAGGTGCCTGCGGAATACCCCCTGGAATATGGCGAGAGACCCCCAGCTGTCACAAGGAGGCCGCGAGCATTCAGAATGACCGCGGCAGCGGTTACCAGAGCAGAAGTGAGCAGCTGCAGTTTTTTCATAATTCATGAGATCCATAAATGCCGTGTTTTTTTTTTTGTTTTTTGTTTTTTTTTTCTTGTATACCTTGTGTTTGACCTTGCATAAACACTGCTTAGTGGGACTTTCTTCCCGACTGTCTGACCACTGCACACTGGTGTGTGATTGGTGCATCCTCAAGACAAACAGATTTCATTTACTGAAGCTGATATTCTATCCAAATCATGACTGTGGTTGTGCTCGATTATTATTATTACTGGTACTTGTATAATGCTGTCAATTTACGTAGCGCTTTACATATATATTGTACATTCACATCAGTCCCTAACCCTCAAGGGGTGTACAATCTAAGGTCCCTAACTCACATTCATACATACACATACTAGGGCCAATTTAGACAGGATCTAGTAAACCTACCATGTCTTTTGGAGTGTTGGATGAAACCGGAGTACCCGGAGGAAACCCACGCAGGCACAGGGAGAACATGCAAACTCCAGGCAGGTGGTGCCATGGTTGGGATTCGAACTAATGACCCTAGTATTGCCAGGCGGAAGTGTTAATCATTTAGCCACTGTGCTGCCCACACTTTCCATTTAACTTTCAGTAAGTACAATATAATGTAAAGTGCACTTCACATACTCTGGATAAAGCAAATTAAAGTATATCTAAACTTAGAAACAAAAATGTATTATATTGCAGCATATTAGTACTTGGTTAGATGTGATGGCTGCATTTCTTTTCTTTCTTTCTTTCTTTCTTTCTTTTTTTTTTTTACCTAATCACTTCTGTGAAAAAAAAAATATGGAGCCCTGAGCCTTCCTCTTGTAGTCATGCAATTAATTCTAAAGTATAAACAGAATATTGTTAGAGATTTAAATAGCTCTTCTTTTTAATTTGAATAGAAAAGTTTTTTATTTCAATTGGAATTCTTCCATGATAGGTTATACAGATAAAGCAGTGGTGTATGCCATCTGGTGGTCATACTTGATATAGTCCTGCATGTGCCCTACCTCAGTGTCTATAGCAGTATTTCTCAATCTTTTTTCAGTCAAGGCACCCTTTAAAATTATGGACAGTCCTGAGGCACCCTTTAAAATTATGCACAGTTTTGAGGCACCCCATTCTAAAATGTGAAAAAACTATTCTAATAGTTTTTTATAACACCGTAACATCCACACGTGTAGGACACCCAACATTAGAGGTGATTTATTCTTCCAAAGACACTTTTTTACACTGGTAATAGTAGTATTCCAGTGTTTCTCTTCTCCCTCAGTTTTTATACATCACTGAGCTGATGTGACCCCAGTACTGATGGAGAGGGGCAGGGGAGGGTCAAACTAGGATGCTGTGCAGGCAGCTGACATCCTCCTTATCAACTGATGATGTCATTGGTTGTCAGGACGCTGGCAGCTAGAAGGTCATAATGGTGTACAATGAAAACCTGTGACTTTGTGTAACTAAAAGGCAGGCTTGTTCCACCCGCTAGACATTTTGCCAAAGCACCCCAGGGTGCCTGGGCACCCTGGTTGAGAATGGCTGGTCTATAGATCTACTTTTGGTTCTTTCTTGCAGGAAGCGCAGTTGGACCGTTTGGAGCGGGATTTTGCTTTGCAGCTACAGATGGCAGAAGCTGCTCGCAAGCTGAGTGTTGCTGCAGAACAGAGCACAGAACTGACTGCGGAGCAGCGTAGAAAACGCAGACTGGTTTATCTGGATGCATTGCGCAGGCTGCAGGAAATAGAGGAACAAAGTAATAACCTGCGCAGAAAACTGGGCCTGAGGCCTACACATAGAGTCCCCCACAGTCTGGTCGGTAAGTGCATGTCCTAACCAGGGAGTAGGTATCCAAGTACCTTTTGCCATTATTTCAGTCATTTAAAGAACTCCAGCTATAAATATAAATACCTATTGTAGCGAGGCAAAGAGAGCATGCCCTTGCTATGGAGTTGGACTGCTTGACAGTTACAATATAACAGCCCCCAGGGCTGGTTATAAAGCTCATGAAGGTGTCCCAGCTCCACAAATGAAACTGTACAGCAGCTGGAGTACAGGCTGTCTTACATGGTCTATTAGTTGCAGGATTTTGATTGGAAACGAGATTTAATCACTAACTGGGGAGGTTCTACATTTTCTAAATTTTAATAATTTAAAATACTCTGCATGGCAGCCTTTTATTAAAAACAATGTGTATTGCAAATATAGCATATATAAAGAATTATCATCTTTTATCATTTTTGTACAGGGATTAAACAGATGAGTTTGCAGTGTCTGATAAGGATCTAGAACGGCAATAGAGAGCAATTTTCTAAGATAAGAATTCATGCAAGGAACCAATCTTACTAATAATACATATTTTTTTCTTTTTAACAGATGAAGCTTTCCAATCAGAGTGCAGTTCATTATCTGATGGGGGCAGCCATGGTGAGTATGGCTAGAAAAGGAAGTTCACGTTGTACACTTCAAAGACATTTCCATGCTTGAGACATACATAAAAATATAAAATAGCACTAAAAGAATGAATAATTCTGGCCTGCAGATGACATTCTTGCTCCAGGAATGAGGCCCTCTCCTCCTCGCATTGCTGAGCACTCCCGTGCTGTCTCCAATAGTCCTGAGCGGAGGGTTGGTTGGAAAGCATCACCTGTGGAAATGTACTGTGAAATTCGGAACAGGCGTAACTCCATGGCCAGCACTGCAAGGTGGGTTCATTATTGTTACTATTTTCTATTTTAATTTTTTTTTTAATGAATGATAAAAGATGAGAGAACGAGAGGAGTGTAGCTTTCATAGAGATGAATGGAGATATGGCAATGGGTTTGTTTGGGCTGGTGGAAGTATGCAGTGAAAGAGCCTCCTTAGCCCAAATGGGTAGTAAATAAGTGTGAGTCCAGAGTCAAGCGGACACCATATAAAGATAAAGATAAATAAAATTACACAGAAGCTCACAAGCAAAAGGAAGGGATGTGGGGTAACTGGGGGTGGATCCAGGCTACTTTTATACTTTTGTATTTGAGTGCCTGTTAGGGTGGTCTAATATGTGAGAGAACCTAAAGTGAATGGTCCAAGTCAATAGGGAGATAATGCTCAATCCAAGGAGTCCAGATACATTTATGCTTCTGCTTGGCATTATCGAGGATTGCAGCCATTTTCTCATTCAGTGAGTACCAGGACATCTTTTCTTGTGCAATCGCAGAGTAAAAGAACTACTGTGCTTTGGTGACAACCTACTAAGCTGTAGGGAACAAGAGCATCAAGAGGTGAAATTGTTTCATGTTTTAACAGGACCTCTTTTGGGATACTTTTGCCCAAAAACGTGTACACGTTTGTATACATTGGTCCAATATCTCCAGATTTTGGAACATTCCCGCCATATAAGCTGGAGAGTACCAGGAGATTAGCATCACCTAAAACATACCTGAAGAAGAGGGTGAAAAACTTGCGTAAACATTGTGATCACATAAGTATACAAGGTTAGACTGCACTACTGGTGCGTCAACAGTACAGGGAGCTGTGGGCTGTCAAACTTGTCTCCAGTCCTCCTGTTCCTAATTAGCACTGAGATCCTTTAACCAGCATGCAACATACAGAAGGCAGTTAGGGTTTGAACTTTCCAAAAGAGAATTGTAAATCAAAGAATTTGCAGCTCTGGATGATAGATCGTGTAAGCATATACACTCACCGGCCACTTTACTAGGTACACCTGTTCAATTGCTTGTTAACCAATAACTAATCAGCCCCTAATAAGTCCCCCTAACTCACATTCATATATTTACATACTAGGGCCAATTTAGACAGGAGCCAATTAACCTACCAGCACGTCTTTGGAGTGTGGGAGGAAACCGGAGTACCCGGAGGAAACCCACACAGTCACAGGGAGAACATGCAAACTTCAGGCAGGTGGTGCCGGGGTTGGGATTCGAACCAGCGGCCCTAGTACTGCCAGGCGGAAGTGCTAACCATTTAGCCACTGTGCTGCCCAATATATGTATAAATGTGAGTTAGGGACATTAGACCATAAGCTCCTTGAGGGCAGGGACTGATGTGTATGTACAATATATATATATATGTGTGTAAATCAACAGCGCTATATAAGTACCTATAATGAAAAAAGTGAAATATAACTGTGTCTGGAGTTGGGAGTTAAAAAATGTTATCCACTCAGTATCAATCAAGCTTGAAGATTTAGGGTCCTTCTGCCTGGTTCTTTGATGTATTTAAAAATATACCTTTTCTTCCTCATTATGTCATAATGGTGTTAGTCCTTGTATAGTTATTTTTAATTGACTGTAAGAAACTTTTAGAATGTGTACATGCTGCTTACAGTGGATATGAAAAGTTTACACACCCGTTAAAATGTCAGGTTTCTGTGATGTAAAAAAATGAGACAAAGATAAGTTAAATTAAAAAGGTGGAAAAAGTTCCGAAATTATTTATCAATTCTACAACTCAGTTGAACAACAAACTGAAATCTTTTAGGTGAAGGGAAGTAAAAATAACAAACTAAAATAATATGGTTGCATAAGTGTGCACACCCTTACACTAATACTTTGTTGAAGCGCCTTTTGATTTTATTCCAGCACTCAGTCTTTTTGGGTATGAGTCTATCAGCATGGTACATCTTGACTTGGCAATATTTGCCCAATCTTCTTTGCAAAAACACTTCAAATCTGTCAGATTGCAAGGGCATCTCCTGTGCACAGCCTTCTCCAGATCACCGCACAGATTTTCGATCGGATTCAGGTCTGGGCTCTGGCTGGGCCATTCCAAAACTTTAATCTTCTTCTGGTGAAGCCATTCCTTTATTGATTTGGATGTATGCTTTGGGTTGTTGTCATGCTGAAAGATGAAGTTCCTCTTCATGTTCCGCTTTCTAGCAGCAGAAGGTTTTGTGCCAATATTGACTGGTAGTTGGAACTGTTCATAATTCCCTCTACCTTGACTAAGGCCCCAGTTCCAGCTGAAGAAAAACAGCCCCAAAACATGATGCTGTCACCACTATGCTTCACCGTATGGGATTCTTTTGGTGATGTGCAGTGTTGTTTTTGTGATAAACATATCTTTTGGAATTATGGCCAAAATGTTCAGCCTTGGTTTCATCAGACCACAACACATTTTCCCACATGCTTTTGGGAGACTTCAGATGTTTTTTTGCAAAATGTATCCAGGCTTGTATGTTTTTCTTCATAAGAAAAGGCTTCTGTCTTGCCACTTTACCCCATAGCCCAGACATAGGAAGAACTTGGGAGATTGTTGTCACATGTATCACACAGCCAGTACTTGCCAGATATTCCTGCAGTTCCTTTATTATTGCTGCAGACCTCTTGGCAGCCTTCTAGACCTGGATTCTTCTCGTCTTTTCATCAAATTTGGAGGGACGTCCAGTTCTTGGTATTGTCACTGTTGCATCATATTTTCTCCACTTGATGACTGTCTTCACGGTGTTCTAGGGTATATCTAATGCCTTGAAAATGTCAGGAAAGACCTACTAGAACAGCTGAACTTTATTTGGGGTTAATCAGAGGCACTTTAAATGATGGCAGGTGTGTACTGACTCCTATTTAACATGATTTTGAATGTGATTGCTTAATCCTGAACACAGCTACATCCCCAGTTATAAGAGGGTGTGCACACTTATGCAACCACATTATTTTAGTTTTTATATGCTTACTCTCCCCCTTTAATTGAGTTGTACAGTTTATAGGTCACATTAAAGGGGGGAAAAGTTCTGAAATGATTTATCTTTGTCTAATTTTTTTACATCACGGAAACCTGACATTTTAACAGGGGTGTGTAGACTTTTTATATCCACTGTATATTACTAATACTGAGCCAGGGTACCATTGTAAGTGCAACCTGGAGATGATAGCGTGACCTTAAAGCGATTTCTAGAGGTTTTTTTTTTTTTTTTTTTTTTGGTAAATTAACAAACATGTTCTACTTACCAGCTTTATTGCTGTCTGTGCCTCCATTTGGGGGGTTCACCCTATTTGGCCTGTTTTACCATTCTCATTAAAAGTGAAAGTAAAAGAAAATTCCACGTTTTTGAGTTGTCCGCAGAAAAGTAAGAGGTGAAATCTTTCCAATGGGGACACTGGTTCTGGTGACTTGGGTAGCCCCAAGGTATTCCCTTTAATTTTCAAGGATTTCCTCTCACTTGGTAGGCGGCAGTTACAATTCGTTCCTTTGCAGATTTATGTGAATGAATGATGTGGGCAGAGCCCTGCACTGCCACTTTTTTTAAATTGTGGCAGTGGGTGCCATGCCTGCTGTCACAGCAGGGGGGATTAGAGGGGCACAGGCAGCTGCCCTTTGGTAATGTGTTAAATCACCCAGGTGTAACATGTAGAATGCCTGCTTACTGCCTATGGGTAGTGTGTTTGAATCCAGCTGAAAGATATCAATACTGCCATGACAGGGCAAAGACTGAAAGTGATTAACCTACACTGGTTTGAAAAGAGCACTTGCCTGGAAGTAAGATCTATCTGCCTGTATTTATTTTATGTAAAGATAATTCACCCAGTCTTCTTTTCCATTCACAGCCCTACGCGTTCCTTCCCCCGAAGTCTATCCAGTCTCGAAGGTCGAAGTGTTCCGGCCACTCCAGTCCTGAGCCGAAATGCCTGCAGCAGCTCTGCACTGAGGTAGGTACTGCAGGGTTGCTTTAGTCGGAGGGTGCTGGCAAGTTTTTTGGTAAGATCTGGCAGTCCTGCATAGAGAAGGTTGTACGTTCTGTCTTTCAGCTTACAAAGCCATATTAGGTGGCCAGGTTGGGGACCTTTAATTTTTATTTATTTTTTTTTTACTGCATTTAGACAATTCAGCTAGGTCATCTCCCTGACCAGCCTTTCATTGGAGAGTCAACATGCATTAGCAGCACAGTGATGAGTCAACACTCTGCTGTCCACTATTGTTAGAATGTTCCTTACCAGTTCATATGCAAAGCAGCAAACCAAATTGTTGCAGCTCTCCCTCCTCCAGTTTGAGATCTTCTGTACCAGGAATTACAGGAGTCTGATATAGAGCTAAGGTCAGATACGTTTTATAAGTTACATTTAATAAATTCATACCTGAATCATTTGATATTTTCAATATCTGCTTGGGATTCAGCTATACACTGGGTTTGCAAAGAACAAATTAGAAAAGACCGAGCTTGCCTCTCCACACTAACCAATTTTTTTTCTCCTTTCTAGGTCGGATGGGTCAGGGTTGTCGCAGAGGCAATGGACAGGAAGTCAAGACTCTCAAGTAGGCTTCCCCAGTGAGCGTCCACACACTCATTCAGCCAGAAGCCGGCGAAGCAATAGTTCTGAAGCTCTGATAGAGAGACCCCCTCCTGCTGAGACCCAGGGAAAACCTTCCTTTAAGAGTTCAGAAGCTTTGAGCGATCGCCCTCAGGCAGGTCCGGCACCCACGCACCACCAACAGCGAGGGGCAAGATCCCCGGACCCCAGGACCCCAAACACCAATTCTCGTCTTCCATATGAAGAGATACTGTTAGATTATTATATGGAGCGCCAGCAGCAACAGCAGCAAACAAGAGGGTGGGCAGAATCAGAAGGTCAGTGGTGGGTGGAACCCGACTCTCCCTGGTGGGCTGACCCTGATGGTAGTAGCCATTACTCTAGACGAGACGGCTACTTTGAGGGATATATGGGTAGCCCAGCCCTTCGGAGTCGTGCCGAGACCCAACAGCGCAGAAACGTTACTCGAAACAAATCATGTGGCCCTCAGTTAACTGATGTTGGTCATTTTCAGCAGCCTTGGCACTCTGATGGCTTCCAACAACGCAGTGCTCCCCAAGTCTCCCATCCAGGCCCTCGCTCTAGGAGTCAGCCTCGGGCTCCACCCCCGGAGACAATGGAGAGGAATGTGCACAAAGCTCTGGCACTGGAGGGGCTTCGGGACTGGTATCTGCGCAATTCAGCAGCATCTGGGGGAGTTCAAAGGGGCCCTATTCCCTCACACATGCAGTACCAGAGATACTATCGTCCAGGTTATCACGAGGGACACTATCAGACTGGATCTCCACTTCCACATTCAATCAGTTTTACTGGGGCCCCTTTGCATAGCAGGTACGAAGTCCTCTACTGAACTTTCTCCTGTCTTGTGCACAAATATTGCGTCCATTTATGTATCTCTCAACCTCCCCACTGGCTGCTGAAAAATCTGGCCTTATCCTGGTCCTCCGAAAAGTCTTCCTTATTGCTGAGTTAAAAAAAAAAAAAAATTTTGTATGTGTGTGTGTATATATGATATATATTTATATATCATACATACATATATACACACTACACTATATGTGTGTTTTTTTTTTTTTTTTTTATTTCTTAGGAAGGGGTGGGGGGAATACTCTGTGACTCAGTAGAGCCAAATTCAACTGGATAATGAAACTGAGGGGAAAAGAGCTTTTTTTTTCTGCTTAGTTGGTATAAACTTAGAATATGAATAGGGGATGGACACTTTTTGTGCTTCTTTTGCATGGGGTGCTTCGTGAACCTTATGACTTTCTAATTTCTTTTTCCTTTCTTCTTTGATTCTATTCCAAACACCGATCTCCATTTTATATTCATGTTACTGTTCCTACTCCATTTTGCACATATTATCAATCTGTGTCCGCTCTCAAAAATGTGACCATATTTTTTGTTCTTTTTCACACCTCTTTTCTCCCTGAACTTTCATTTAATTTTTAATTCAATGCCCACTCAAACACTGTTCCCTTTCTCTTCACATTCAAATGTTCATTAATCTATCCAATTTTTGTTATGTGGAAACACTTTTCCACCAATTAATTATGGTATGCACTGCTTGCCCCCTTCACAAACTGCTTTTGCATTCTGTCATCGGCCACCTCACCTGCCCCCCATGTTCCCTCTCCCCCCCTTCCCCCAATCAGGCACTTTTCAGAGTACGTTGATGAGGACCTGTACAGCCAGGCCACCATGACGAGTCGGGCACAAGGAGAGAGGTCAACAGAAGGCACACCACCAGGGACTTTAGTCTGACACTGGATGGCAGCTCTCCCATCATGTCTCCTACCACCAAATGCCGAAAATCTTCCTCAAAGAAGAACTAGAGACCCACACTGCTATTTTGGTTCTTCAGCAATAAGACTAGTCGGGGAGTGATGCAGGACAGAAATGATCCCCGAATAATGAGCCTCATTGCTTGTTGGTTCTGTAAGTGCAATAAGTAGCCACGCTGTTTTGGGGTTTAGTGTGCAGCAAGGGGAGACTGGTCCTCCTTGCCACAAATGCCAATTTAACCACTCTCTACAAGTGCCTCCCTGGTAGAGGGGGTTTTGTGATATGTACAGTTTCCATTCGACCTTGTTGCTAAATGTTCTGTTATATTGTGCGTTCATTGGCATTCGTCTTTCTCAGTGTTAGGGGAAAAAAAAAAGAAAACAGATAATTCTGTGTACAGTTAATATTGCTGCCTATGTGGATCTCTGTATCCTTGTGACTTAACTGAGAATAGTACACATTTATCTCAGCGTGAATTGTGACCTTCAATAGCAGGAAGAAGAAGAAAGAAAAGAGAGAGAGAATTGTCTGCTCGCAGCGGGTAAAGACTGGTAAAATTCAATGTAAACCCTGTGCCAAACTTAACTGCAAAGTGCTAACTGTTTGTGTTCCCTGCTGTGTAAAAAACTGTATAGTTTGATAACTTGTATCCACACTGAATGTTTGTAAGTAGACACACTGGAAAGAAAATCATTCTAGCTGCTGAAAGAGAAGAGCGAGGCTGAGCTGGACTCGTTGCCTCCACGCTGGTTGGGATCATTGTAAAAGAAGCAGTTTATAGTATCCCTTTTTATTTGTTACACACTGAATGGTGACTGGACAACACTGTGCAATATGTACAAACGCATTTTATTTGAGGGAAACTTGTTTATTGGGCAGGACAATTTAACAATAAATTCTAAAAAATAAAGAAACAAAAATATTGCTTTTAACACATTTGATCAACATTCTGCAGTCTGTCGAGAATTATTTAAAATTGGACCCCTGTTCTAGTGACAAAAACGGTAAGTGAGAATTAAAACCCAGTATTCTGCTTGTGCTTTTTCTTAACTCAACTATATGTAGCAACTGTACTCTTATAGTTGCAAACATCCCCCAAGAACAGCCATCCCACAATGACAGTACAGCAGCAGGTCTATTAGATGGGTGTATATAGGAAGAAATAGCTGCAGAAATTCTGTCCTAGTCCCCACTCTCGGCTCTAAGAGGGCAGCAAAATATTTAGAAGAGCAGTCCTATATTCCTGATGTTAAACTGACAGCATTGTGCAAGGAGTTGTAATTGCTATAGAGTACTGCTGTTGTATTATGTGAGAGGGGAAAACTATATTCCTGGAGATTTTTAAAGTTATGAACAGGTCATGTATGAAGGTACTTTAGACAAAAACTGGCAATTTTGCTAGCAAGGTTCAGTCAGTGGCAGAATTACCAAGGTGTAGCTGCCACTTTTTGTAAAGACAGTCTCACCTTCTGAAACTCTTGCTGAATAGACTGAAATCTAATTTCAAATCAGATTTGATCAGTGATAAGGCAACATCATAGGAGAAGGCACTTGGTTTAGAAAAGTAACCGGGATCACAGATTCTATTTAACCATTTGCCGCCCGGCCAATGGCCGTTTGGCGGCGGCAAAAGTGCTTCTGCATTCCGGGTGCACGCCATTTGGCGTGCTCCCGAACATGCTCAGTTCGCGCAACTGCAGAGCGGCGCAGCAGCGCGATCTGTCACCAGCCGTGTACCTCGGACATGGCCGATGACAGATCCGAGTACCGGCTCCCGTTGCTGGTACCATGTGACCTGCTGTGACCAATCACAGCAAGTCACATGACAGTTGTATACAATGGATGGCTTCATTCATGCCATCCATTGTATACTAGTGCCTAGCTGCGAATGGTCACAGCAGGTCACATGCACATGTCATGTGATTAGCTGTGACCAAATCACAGCTAAGCACAAAAAAAAAAAAAAACTGAATGAATCGATTTCATTCTGGTAAATGCTTGCTTATAGCAAAGTAATTCTTTGCTATAAGCAAATTGTGTAAAAGAAAAAAAAACAGATCGCTTCCCCAAAGTAGTACACTGTTACTATGGTAACATTGTACTACTTTGGTTATAGTAAAATATGAAAAAAAATCTTAAAAAAAATAAAAAAAAGTAATAAATTAAAAATAATAAAAAAAAATAAAATAAAAAATATATATATATATTTTCATACTGTTACCAGTCAGTGTCCCTGTTCACCGCCATGCCAGTTATATGATGACGCTGTACTGCACTGGTGACAGTATGTAAAAAAAAAAAATTGTGACAATAATTTTTTTAATTTTCCGAAAAATTATGACAAAAAAAATACAACTTCAAAAAACTCGCCATTCCTCTTATGAAGTACGTCGGACTGTCTACTCCTGCAAAAAGGGGTCATTTGTGGGGATATCTGTACTGTTCTGACATTCTTGGACCTCAAGAAATTAGATTGGCCGTCAGTACTTCAGGATTGATCAATATTCAGATCTATACCATAGTTTGTGAACTCTATAACTTTCCTACAAACTAAAAAATACATCCTAATTTGGGTTATTTTCACCAAAGACATGTAGCAGAATACATCTTGGCCTAAATTTATGAAGAACAATTATTTATTTGTAAACTTTTATAACAGAAACAAAAACGTGTTTTTTTTCAAAATTTTTGGTCTTTTTTTGTTAATTTAGCAAAAAATAAAAACCCCAGCGGTGATTAAATACCACCAAAAGAAAGCTCTAGTTGTGTGAAGAAAATGATAAAATTTTAGTTTGGGTACAATGTTGTATGACCGCGCAATTGTCATTCAAAGTGTGAGAGCGCTGAAACCTGAAAAATGGCCTGGGCAGGAAGGTGTAAAATTGCATGGTATTGAAATGGTTAAACACTTCTATTTTTTCATAGCCTGTAAGCTGGTAAAAGCAGATGGACAGAAGACTCCCATTTACTCAAATAATTCAGCCGCACTCTTCTGGCACTAGTTAGAAAATGTTACAAATGTTCCTGTGGATGACACAATTTTCTTCCTCTGTCCATTGACTATGTCCATGCAGCTTTTTCGCATGGTAGACTGACAGACTACAAGAGGAAAAAATAAATCACATAGGGCTACATTTATAAAAACAAATACCAGCATACTGGCTAAAGTACTTTCTAGATGTCCATTTTGTTCTGCTTGTTTCAGGACTGCAAGGAAAACAAAATGGAATTCATTCATGGGACTTGACCTGTCAAACTCATGACTGGCCTCTCCTCAAATCACTCATTTTCAAATCAGGGTTGAAAGAATGGTGGGAAGAATTTGGTTGCTATAGGCAACCCTGGTCTATCAAAGAGTCTGAGGCATGAATGGTGGCTTCTTGTGACAAAGTGATTCTCCCTCCTATTTCATCAATCTGTGATCTAGCAAAAAAGGATACAAGTTAGGTTTTAGTCAAAAATAAAAAAGATTAATGGTGGCTGTGAATGGCAGTTTTGGAGAGCTCTAAGCAGACTACGGTCATCTATGGACATTGTTTATTGGCAGTGTGAAACAATCAAAACTGTTAGTGATTGTTTTCCTTGATCTATTGGATCACTTTTATGACAGGACCTTATGCATGGTCTGTATTACACAAAGAACATGGAGGAATTGGTTATCCAGGCCCTGAACTGCCTTTAGGCAGCTGTGTGCAAAACGAGTAAAAATAAAAAAATGTGTATATATATGTTACACATGCACACATACATGTTATAGTGCCCCTCCCTGGTACTGGAAAGTGGTGAATACAGGGAGGAAGCCATTTAAACATGCTTTCCAGTGTGCCCAATTTATCCCTGCTTTGGGTACATTTTGGTTTGCGGTCATACTTCCATGACTGAGGGCTCCAGGATGGCCACTGTTAATGGTGCTTGGCATCGGTTTATTGCCAAACAGTGGCGTCTTGCCAGGTGCTCTTCTACTTAGGTGCACTGTCCTGTGTCTGCACATCCTAAAGTATGTTCTGTGCAGGCTCGGCTTTGTTGAGGAGGTTACTGGACTTGTGCACTCTGCCTTTTCCTCTTTGGGTGCTGAATGCCATTTGAGTAACATCTTCCGGTTCTCTCTCTTGCTTTTCTGCTGCAGATGTTGTGAGTACTCATCTAGGGGCATTTTATATTATGGACCTGACAGACCGTAAGCACATAGATAAGAGACCAGACAGTCTTAACCTTTATTTTGGGGGGTTGTAGTACAACCCCAATTCCAAAAATGTTAGGACAAGACCATGTTTACCATGGTGTAGCAACCCCTTTTCTTTTCACAACCCTGAAAATATCTGGGAACGGAGGAGACCAGTTGCTGGAGTTTTAGGAGAGGAATGTTGCCCCATTCTTGTCTGAACATATGCTGCACTAAAATTTGAATAAATCTTTCAGCATTGATGGCACCTTTCTAGAGATGCAAAGTGCCCATTCCATACACACTAATCCACCCCCATACCATCAGAGATACAGGCTTTTGAACTGAGCGCTGATAACCAGTCAGGAGGTCCCTCTACTCTTTAGTTTGGAGGATGCGGTGCCCATGGTTGCCAAAAAGATTTCTGCTTTGCACCAGACCATTTTAAATGAGCTTTGACCCAGATAGGACAGGTGTGTTTCTGGATCATGTTTAGATATGGCCTCTTCTTTGCATGACAGAGCTTTACTTTTTTTGGGTGCCACGACAAACTGTGTTCACAGACAGCAATTTTGTTTAAGTATTCTTGAGCCCATGCAGTGATGCCCAAAGATCAAGGAAATCCAGTATTGCGTTTGGATCTTTTGTACACAGAGATTTCTTCAGATTCTTTGAATCTTTTGATGATAGTTGTGTAGTTTTTCCAGAGTGGTGAACCTCTGCCCTTCTTTAATTCTGAGACACTCTCTCTGAGATGCCATTTTTATACCCAGTCATGCTTAAACCTAATGCAGGTGGTCAGACACTAAAGTTGGCT